TTTTAATGTACTCGTTCCTATGTTGATGTATATAATCCAAGACTGAAATCCACAGTTTTGCTGAGAAAAATTATCTTTAATTTTAAGTTTATAAAATGGTTACAATAGCCATTGGTAATTCGAGCTAGGCTGTAAGTGAATTGACATTGACACCTGAGAAAAACAATAAGGCCGCATGCCAACTAAATGTTAATTTTTCTTCTCAATGGTCTTCAGGTATAATTTATTGCCTGTAAGCCTGCATTACCTAGTCCTTATCGGCCTCGTTGGCCTCTTCGGCGACATCACTCTCCTCAGAGGAACTGCTTATTTCCCAGTCCAGACTGCTGCTGGTCTCGTCCGGGCCCATTAATGAAAGTGACACGGTGTTGTTGATCAGCTGATCTAAGCCATCATAGGAGGTAGGGTCGACGTTGGAACAGCCTGATCTCCATGCGTTGTATTCCTCAGCAATCTTCCTTAGAATGCTATCCCTATTTGATACTGCAATCGCCTTTATCTCTAGGCCTTTCATCAGCTCCTCTACATACTTTCCAACAGAAATGCCCTCCTTCTTTTGGCTCCGTGGAAGCCTATCATCTTTCAAAAGCCGCTCTGCCTCCTCTTTGAGAATTTTTTGCTCTTTCAGAAATTCAATAGGGTTGTCTTGGCTGTCTAGAAGGTTCTTCATTTTTGTGTACAACCGATGAGGCTGCTGTATCTCGTGGAGAGTTTTTTGTAGCCTGTTACACTTCACTGAACACTCAGAGTCTACCATCATATTTAAGGTACATATTTTGTATTGGATCTCCCACACTAAGCTCTCCCCTAGTGTGCTTATTAATGTCTTAATGTCCTTGGAGCTTAAAATGAGATCATCCTGTATGTTTTGTAGTTCCTGAGAAGAAAAAAAAACGATATTATTGAATACGAAGAAAACTTTTGCATAACACGTAAGTCACCAGAAATTCCAAGGTTTTAGAAACCTGTTTTAGTAGTAATGAAAATGTGCCTCAAGTCCTGAACAGTTGTGGTTGAAGTCTCTTTTTCTGTAAACTATAACAAACCCAGAGATACGCACACTGTTGGTAACAATTCATGGACATACCGATTTGCTTTGTGGGTTCTTGGCTTTGTGTAATGTTCTGAATTATTGAAAAAAGTACTAAATGCTTTAAAAAATCCAGATACATCAGAATTGTCACGGTAGGTCTTATTTCTACAGATAGTTTAATCTTCTCCAGAGAGACTCAGAATGTGTTATATGCATGACTGATGGGGACAGCATGTGTGTTATCAGCATTCTTAAAGACTCCTTTACTGCAAGAAGTGCATCATTTTACTTATTTTAGAATTCTAAATTCTTTTTGTACCTGAATGGCTTCTGTTGTTGTTTCTTGTTTGAAAAGCAATCTGTCCATCTGTTTGGAAAAACTATTTTTTTTCTCCTGATAAAACTCAGCCAATCGGGTAACATCATGTGTGCGGTGGTCCCCAAACAGTTTGCAGATGCTGCATATTGGTTTTTCATCTGTCAGGCACATCTGCGAAACAGGGCAAAACGTTTATGCTCTCTTTCATACAAACAACCAAGTTTTAAATAGTATCCATTTGTATAAATGCTTGCTTATTTATCTTTTGAAGTACCAGGTATTTCTTGGTCTGAAATAATTTCTCTGTGGGTTGACAGTTTTAACAAATTCTGGTATCAGATGGAAGGCAGATGTCCCATAGTGTATGAAATTCAATTACAATTGTATTCATCTTGTCATCACTCTAAAGGGGAATATTCACAATTGCTTTTTATTTGCTCCAACTATGATGATGCTATTTCTGTACTTCAGCAAGAAACTCTGGCAGAAAATATACATTCTGCATAATTGGGAAGTAAGGTCACTTTCCTCAACCACAAAAAGAAATTAATGACAAACAAGGATATATAGCTGATAATGAAAATCGGTGTAAACACACCAGGTTGATACTCTCTTCATGGATGCTGCAGATTTGTGACTTTAGCCTGGTCTCCCTTTTCTCCTGGCGTATCCCATGTTCCTTGATTTTCTCCAGGACATTTTCCGCAAAGACATTCCTTTTCAGCCCATCGATTCCTCTCCCCCTTAAGCAGGTGACCTAAAAAATGCAGGTTGTACAGTATGTTATAATCTAGGTTCACAATTGAACTGAATACTAATTCAGTTTATTACCTTTACTTCCTGAGAGCAAGCTGCAATGGTCCATTGTCATAACAATCACCAGTGAGCAGTCATTATTTGTGTGCAGCTCTCTGGTTTCAGCATTTAAGTATAGATTACTTTTTTGCATATTAAGGGAATTTTGTGATGACAGAACTAATCTATTCTTTGTTACTTAAAGCAGACAGCAGATGGGGGTTTGGTTTTACTGAAATACTTTAAGGGGGGTGAAACAAACTAAGGCTTTGTATGCCAACAAAAGCATGTATCCATTTGAGCAAAACGTAGCAGGTCCACACAATTATGATGACATGGTAAAGAAACGTTTCAGCCTCAGACCTCCTTGAATTTGAGACTCGCCATCCATACTGTACCATATGTGTTGAGGCCCTGAGAAAGAAATAGGCTTGCTCAAGTGAAGAAAACACATGTCAGAATTTGTGGTGTACGTGAAAGTTTCTAGTTTCAAAAATGTAAACATTTCTGATTTCTGAAGGGTACAATGATTCTGAAGACGTTTCTTTTTTTTTCTGCATGACTGCCAGACACAGGATGAAAGTAAATACATCTCCATCTGTACGTGACACTATCATCCAGGTACCAGTTGGAGAAAACAAAAGTGTGTATCCCCGCGGAGGAGACGGTTTGGGGATTAAAATAGGTGAGATTATTATGCATTTGCTACTAGAAGAGTTTTGGATTGAGAACTACACATCCATTTCTGAGTATATAATAGTTAATACTTAATTACTTTATAAACCCCAGAATGCATCTGTGTGTGTGTCTGCACCCAGCCATAGACTGGAGAGCCAGTGGTGACAGACTGGTGTAGTACTGCCTTGTACCCTGTGCCTCTCCAGAGAGAGTGGTTACTGAAAACCAATGAGTGATGGTAATGGAGACAGACAACATCTGCTGGCTCTCTGTAGGAGTGTGACAAATATATTTTGACATTTCAAACATCGACAGTGTTTTAGTTCCAGAGGTGCATAATAAAGGTTCCAGTTTAACCGTCTGTAGCATCACTACCAAAATTCTGATTCAGATAAAAAATTTTGATATTTACCTGTGTAGACCTACATGCTCTTTGAAACTCCTTTGGTTACTCCTCTTTGAACTTTTTCCAAAGCATCAGCATTTGTTTTGTATTATTGTGCCCAATACTGGATCCATTATTGAAAATAATTTATGTCAACTTAGTAATTAACTGGTGTACTTAGTTACACCAATAACTAATCGGTAGTGGTAATAACATATTAGTAAGTAACACATTGTTAGTAATAACCCTAATTCCTAACAAGTTTTCAAGTACTGTTGGTGTGAGTAAATGAGTAAGTTCTCAAGTAGGTGTGAACCACAGTTTACTGGGCTCTGTGCTTCTTCACACCACAATGCGCCCAATTACAGTTGAAACAACAGGTGATCATAGTGACACTCGTCTACATTCAAAAGACATTTAAAGAAACCTCTCACCTTACGACACATCGGGCAGAAGAACTGACCGTTGACGTGTGTGCAGTTCTGAGAGATGAGAGTCTTTGTGATGCACTGTTTGCAGTAGTTGTGAGAACAAGGCAACTCCAGCACTGGAGGGGTGAACAGCTCCAGGCACACAGGGCAGGAAAGCTCCTTGTAGAGACCTTCCATGGCTACTGTAGTTGCTCTCAACAGCTGATGTCCTGAAACACCAGAAGGAGATGTTGAAGGAGCAGCTCAGTAGTTCTAGAACATCCCAAAGTGTTCCAGAACCTCTTTGTTGTGTTGGAATACACATGGTGGCTGTATGATGATTTTTTTTGGTGGTTCCCTAGCAACTACTGTTTGTTGACACCCTTTTTAGAAAAACAACTCTTGCAGCTAATTACTGTCCCTGGTGGTATAGTTAACGTCTTAAGGGAGGGGAATACGTGAGTGGTGAAACCATGTGCCAGGATAAAAAAAAAGTTGTCAAGTTGTTATGATGCCAAGGTTTAACAGACCACATGGTCTGTTAAAGACCCAGGAACAAGGCAGTTCAATGCACAAAACAGTTTGAAGACATCCATGCACTGAAGCAGGGCTGTTGATGAAACGCAAGAGAACTACCTAGTTTAACCTTTCATTTTTCATCTTATTTCATGATCAAGCGTCTGGGAGGAAAGGCGCTGAAATGCAGGGTCCCAGTCGCAGGTCCCTCGCCGTAGAGTTTGCGAACAGTTTCTGGAAGAAGCGGAGGCACTCAGCCTCAGATGTCCTCCTCAGAGTTGTTCAGAGGCGACGCAGCTCGGCTGTCGAAATGCTCTCTTCTTCCCCGCGTCGGGTAATGTTGGCTGTGAGCATGACCGAGGCACAGGCAGACCCGAATGGAAGGAAACGTAAATGCCATGGGATGAAAGAGTGGGAGTTAATGGGAGGAAAGACCTGCGGCAGTACAGTATGTGGGCTACAAAGGAACATGCAAAGGGTTAATTCCGATCTGAAAAAAATGCTGAGCTGTTGTGTCTTCTTCTACACCTGAAGATGAAGGTGGTTAAACAAGTAGCAACTTCTACTTTTCAGTGTGCGTTTAACCCTGGCTTGTTATTTAAGTTTCCATTTAAACGGCAGGACTCAGAGAAGACTTTTGATCATTTTGCAGTAGAATCTAAAGCTCATTTTACATAAATAAACTGTAAAGATTCACTACAGCTAAGGGCTGAAGACAGAAGGATTAACCTTCTATCTTTTATCTAGTGTCGCCATGAGATAGCAGATCACCCATCAATCCGTTAATTAAGTGAAGAATCAGAGTGATAAGATGTATATACAAAATAGGCGTGTGGAAATCAGTTAATTGTGTCCATTAGGAATATTAGTCAATACTGAGAGCATTTGACTTTCAATTATTTTTAGCAGTGTTCATTTTTCTTCTGCAAGTCATATGTGTCACAACAGGTCTTCAGACTCTCACATCGGAACTTGATCTTTAGAAACGGCCACACCCAGCTGTTTTCTGTTTAACTTCTGAATGTGTCAGAGTTCCAATGGTCTATTGCTGTCTGTTCTAGCAGTGCAATGGCCCTGTTTTCAATTCAAAATCTCCTGAATTTCTCACAATCTGCAGGGCAGATCCTTATACTGCATCACTTTTAAGTTTAAAATAAAAATCTGTTACTGTGTCTCGCCAACATACCCCTAGGTACGACTGGAAAAAAAAAACTTTACAACTTTCTACTTTTTAAATTAGTTTATTAAAACAACCATTATCTACTTTGTCTGAGATGCTGTAGCAAATGGTTTATTCATTTTTAACAAAAGTAATTCTAAATGTAACAAGCACTGTAATACAGAATTTAACTAAAGTTTGACACCCCAGAATTTCTAACAATCAGAAATTGCAGAAACCGAACAGTCGACATTGATGGTACACTTGGATACTGTAAATATAAGTTCACAATATTGATAAAAGACACATTTACACACTATTCACATACAGTGCATTCAAAATAACCTCTCAACATAGCATTGTGGCACTTAAATATTATGGCAGTACGGGGAGTTGAATACGAAACAAAATAAATAGTTGCAAACACAATCACATCTTGATGCTGAAAAACATTGCGTCTTTTTGAACCACATTTAAAAACTACAACAACAAAAAGATAAATAGCAGCAGACAACGTTTCTGCAGTGGACTCATTTTCAGCATCTGGGATTATTCACTTTTTAAGGTCCTGCCCCTTTCGGCACTGTTCTGCACTCCCTCCAGGGGGAGCCCAGCATGCTGATCGCCACCAGTGCAAGTTTAAGGAACATGAACACAGTAACAGGCATTCTCTGCCTCTTCCATTGCTTGTCTTCTCATCTCGTGCAAAACCGGTGTTAAGATTCTTCTCATGGTATTATAAATCACAGGCCCGTCATCAGAATCCAATCCAATCTGCAGAGAACAAAAGAACCTGTCATGCTCTATAGTAAATTTATAGTATTGCGATTACCTGCTGAGCACCTGTAGAACACCCCTGTTTGACATAAAGACCGCAAGGGAGATGAACGCAAACAATTAAATGGTTCTGAAAGCCTTGGGCACATAAATACAGTAGTGTGCTGTACTGAAGCTTCATTAGGATTGGGCAATGTGTGTCCCTTACACCCAACTGTAGTTCATCCCGTTTCATTGCATAAAAAACTACTTTTCTTTTATGTCACATCAGGTATATATTATCAGTGAATGGTTAATTAAATAAAATGCAAGTGCTACTTTAAATATTTTAACATTTGACTTTAATGTAATATGCCTGTCTTGGTATATCTACTGTAACTCTTTACTAAGTTCACATACATTTAAAATCTTTGTCAAATTTGGAGCTTTTTAAATTATATTTCAGTGAATAAAAAGGGGGAATTACCAAGCACATCACCACCTTGCCTTAACCTACCCTGGTAAAAGCTCTTATGGTACGCTGAAGAAAAGCCTGTTCCACTTCCTCTGGTATTGTCTGTACATGTGCTAAACAGTCTAGAATACAAATCAAGGTCTGATGAGGCCCCTAAGCAAGAAAAAAAAAAAGAAGAGTACATTCGTCAGGAAAGGAAGTTAAATAAATGGCACAAAAATCCAGCTCTGTCAAAATACAGAACAATTTGGTATTTTGATTATTTAAACTGCGGTTCTATAGCTTTAGGTCTTTGTTGTGCTTTCCAGTTCAAGGATTTACACTTCCACCCAGTCAGTTCCTAATCACAATTAAATACATACAAAAAGATCTTGGCAATGTATGAACTATGTACATGAGCTTGCAATCTGTGACAAGCACGTGGATGTCTCTGACCTTGTCCAGTGAGTACAGAGCACTATGGGGATCTATACTTTTATTTTCCAGTGCTTGCACATCTTCTTTGGTTATAACAGGCTCCTTCAGCTGCTCGAGCCAAGACCACATCAGACCAGAGAGTACAAAGGGGTCTCTCTCAGTGCATATCCTCTCCCAAGCACCCTCCTTGGAATTGAGCTCCTTCTGCAAAGCAAAGACAATCCTACATCACACCACTGTCTTGCAGAATACAATCCCTTATTCAGTACTTTAGTTGTGCAAAATAGAGCAACTACTGTATACTCTTCTGAGCCAGACTTTAAAAAAGTATTATTATTGACAACAGTGTATTGCTTCAGTCACTGTGGATTACGGATTATTCTTCTGGGATTCACATTCATTCACATTCACAAGTCCTGTAGAGCTGTAAGGCAGGTTTTAGAAATGCAGGTTTACAGCAACTGGAATATTAAATGTATGCAAAATGGATTGCTGTTTCCATCAAACTGCCCTAAATAGGACAACATGCTCTTGCAATTCCTAATCATCTTTATTACCCAGCCCCTAGAGCAGATCCTCATCCCAAAGTAATGGATCGAACACTCTAACCCCTGTTGCTCTGAACAAAGTCTGCCAGAGGCTGCATGAGGAGACTTATTGAGGATAAAAAGAGTCTGGACAGCAAAGGCTTGTGAGATGGAGCTGGAATCGCGATGCTTTACAAACAATTCGACCCATTCCAGTGCACCTTCACCCTTCTCAAAAGGAAAAGAACCCTTCCATTGGCTTTTCTGGTTCGGTTGCATTATCAAACTAAGTGATCACGGCATCCGTCTCCAACTTTCCAGATTCTGGGATCTGAACCCAATTCTCTTGGAGTCATATAGGTAATACAAAATGTTGTAGTCATACAAAATAGCACAATACCTTAATGTCCTATGCCAAACTGAGGCCAGAGTTCAAATTTACTGGCTCATACATAATCCTTGAACACAGAAAATGAGCAAGTTAACGCATCATATCTGTCCTGCATATACAAGTCGCAAAGCTGTGGGGACTTTGACTCCAGACGTTCCTAAAGGATACTGCTGCCAACAGCACGTTTCAGATCACTAAGGGAGCCTGGCGGGAACAGTTTCAGCTCCAGTTCTAAACCCCACAGGCTCTGCTACACCTGGGGGTCAGCGTCTCCTGAGCAGCAGTGGGATCAAGAGGCAACTGGTTGGGGAAACTGGAGCGTACTCCCGGGCTACGTACTTCTAGAACAAGTTATTGACACTCTCGCTCTGCAGCTACTCCCGATGGGGCTTTAATTGGGGATTTATCATTATTTATCACATTTTCCAGCAGGTTTTGAGAAATACTCGAATGTCCTTGACCTCTGTTTTGGTCTGATAGAGTAGTATGGGCTGCCTGAACTCGTATTGTGAAACCACACAATAGCACCAGGGAGTGTTAAAACTACTCAAAACAATTTGACAATATTGTATGTCAAAGTGGCAAATTTCAAATCTTGGGGGCAAACGTTATATTACATATGAGGAAAGGACGGCATCATTTACATTATTCAAGAAGCACAAACTGGTGTACCTGCCAGTTCAGAACTTTATCTTTATAGTCTTCCTCCCCATCCATGTCCATGTCAGTTGCAAGCGCTCGAGCTACCAGCACTCTCCTGGATTCAAGAGTCAGCTCAGACTGCAGTGTAATGCACGGTATCTCTTCTGACCTGTCTGTGTCTTCATCCCAACACTGAAACACTGCGTCCAAGACTGCTGTTGATGCCTTGGACCTGTCTTTTATCTGGAAGAGACAGGCATTTTTACCATCTGCGCTGCCGTCTTTCTGCTGGGTTTCTGCATCGAACTCCACACTGTGGACAGAAGCCAATGGGTTTCTATCAGCCAGTGACCGACCGGATTCCTGTTGCCTGCTCTTTTCACTGGACCCCAACGAGAAGGTTCTGCTGCGCTGTATTTCTTTGGGTTGCCTTCGCCTTTGGTAGAGGGGAGAACCTTTCTTTCGTTCAACGGAGCTGATGAGCTTCTTCTGGTCCCACACGCTCGACGAGCAGAATAAAGGATCCAGCTTGCTGCTGCCGTTCTCTGACCTTGGCAAGGGCGCAAAGGGGGTCTCGGTAGAATCACAAGCTTGCGCTAGGTTGTTCTGAGACAGGTAGTGTTTACTCAGGGAGCTGAAGAAGGTCATGCTGGCAGGCAGGTGCAGAGGGCTCCCTCCTTGGTTAATGAAGGGTCCCAACCTCCTCAGGTCAGAGTCACTGTAGCAAAGGCGCTTCCGAAGGTAAGAGAGTGGCTGGAGGCGTTCATCGTTCTGGTGCTTCCAAAGGGGGTCGAATTCGTGCTCGCTACAAAGCACAGAATCATTGGGCATCTCTGGAGGCCCCTTCGACAGCCGTTTTGACGCCACAGTGATGCCTTTCCCAAGTAATTCTTTGTCGAGCTGTTGGATTGCCTGCTGAGAGACCGTTTTCTCGATCTCTGCAGAGAGGTCGGGAATCTCTAAAATCTCTTCTTCGATGACCTGGCGGTTTTCAGCCACGTCTAGCAGTAGCTTGCAGATCAGCTGAATAATTTTTGGCACGTTTTTGAGCTGGCGCGCCTCGTAGCCGTGTAACAGGTGACGCTGGCGTGTCAAGTACTGGGACAGGGTGACGGGATTTGCTCTTGGCTCTGCACAGGCAAAAATGTTTCTTAAGGGGATCAGGAACTGGGCAAACTCCCTGACACACAATAACTGTCCTCGGGTCTGAATTGAATTCGGTCTTTTAGCCCGCACAAACAGAATTGCTTGGTCCGCGCTCATTCTTGTCGTAAAAACTAAATAACAGGCTAACAGAACACCTGCAGGAAAAGAAATGCAGATCTGATTAGGAGATCTGATTTGCTTTTGCATGACAGCATGACAACAGGCAGTGCTCTTTTTAAAGTTTACCGTATATGGCTGTTTCTTAATTACCTTATGGTGGTGATGCAAGTGGACCTCACTTAAGACAGCTAAGCTTGATTACTTGGAATAAAGTGTCTTGGTTTTCTAAAAGAAAGGCTCTTTGATCTATACATCTGACATAGTTATTTAAAAATCTTACCTGTTCTCCCAAGCCCCGCATGACAGTGAATAGCCATTTTCCCTTCTTGGATTGCGAAAGACATGACTTTGACCATGTCCAGAATAGTGGTAAAAGAAGCCACACCATAATCTTTCCATCCAAAATTATAGAAATAAACTAAAAGAAAGAAAATGCATGTGTTGATTTAAATATACATACTATTTGCTTTAACAGTTTTTCAATACTAAAGAGAATTTTAATTACAGTACTTTTGCATTTTGCAGGTATGCAAGCATATATTAACTTGTTTCACTGAAAGGCCCCATACCATTCGTGAAATGATCACGGAAAGTTGTAATCTCATTGATGTATTAATTCTCTTCTGCACGAGAGTTAATGAACATCCATTCTGCTCCATTCCACAATTTTGATACAGCCAGCTCCTCAACTGCTTTATTGATTCTGCTATCAGCTGAATTTCAGGGAATTGGTTGTAATTAAATTCTGGAATTGATCTGATTGGTAGAACTATACATTTTAGTAGCGCTGTTATATACTTAACCACATACTTAAGTAGATCTAAAGGACAAAAACTATTCCAAATCTCCATTTGAGCCTTATTTTATTTGAGCATTGGTATTATTTTAGGACAATACCCTTTTATCTTTTTATATCATACATATATGATATGATCATATTCATCTTTTTTAATTTAATTGAATATGCTTAGTGTGCGCTTTTAATTAATACCTTGCAAGCAGTAGATCATTAGGCTCGATCCTCAGTGAATAGGCAGAAATCCATTAGTGACTGTGCTAGTGAACATTAGAAACAAGAGGACAAAGTGACTCACTTCCAGCTTCCATGAATGTCTCTGGCCGGTAAGTGAAACCACTATCTTGCTCTACTGGATTCCCACAGCTTGCGTGTTCTCCAGGGCGTTGCAGATTAATTATGGTCTTTACACCATATCTGAATCAGCAAAGGACCACAACAAGACAGTAATTACAATACTGACTTACACCACTGCTGGAAGGCCAGTACAGGCTTTTCCCATGTTACAGGTAACAACTACAGTACATCACATATCTCTGAAAGACTGTTAAAGAGTATATCACAGTCTGACAGAGAACTTTCTTACTTTTATTAGTTTATTAAAGGCTTCGCTTATCTGTGCCGGTCCACACTGTAAAGTGTATCTATTTTTAATAGAAATGACATATTCTATGACGGTCTGACGATGTTGGCAGAATTTATTTGGAGCTGCTTTTCCGTTTATGTAACATTTCTCCTTCAACTTGATGAGTTGACAAGTGTGTGCAATTACTCTTTAATTTGTTTACAATTTATCCAAATTAATGTTTTTAACAGTGGATAGGAAAACTTGTTTCCTCCATCTATCACTGCTGGACAATTTCATAAGCACATACCTCTAATTATTTGTCTTTATATTTTAATAGCAAGCTATAGACAAAAGCAGAAAATATGACCACATACAGTAATAAAATGGAAATAAAATGAACACTTCAAAATATTGCTAAAATTATCAAAAGCTGTACCTTTGAAACTGTTCAATAATGTTGTATTTTTCAATGATTTCTGTCGAAGGCCTAGCCATTGCCAGCAAGTTGTCCGTTATCCTGAAACCATGAGGGAAATACAATATTTACTTTTCACACTCACAGAGTGGACCAACAGCTGTGCTCGGAAGTGATTGTGATACCTCGTCCTAACAAAAATGACATTACTCCATCCTGGTGGGAAACATTAAAACCTCTAGCACTAGAAATGTTTCTCAGCAGCAAATGCCTTGTGCCCAAGTTAATCTCCACTTTAATAACCCATTGACGTTTGGGTATGTCATGATGTCTTCTCCTTTCTAAAGCTGTAGTGTATCGACAACGCGTGAGAATTAGAAATGTTGGTTACCATGAGGAATACAGGCCTTTGACTGCTTGTTCCTGGTCACTCCAGCGTGATGGGTTTTCATACTTGCAGGCACGGCCCCCACAGGTCATCGAACACTGCATGTGACCTGGGATGACATGTCGCAGTGTCTCTCCAACTTTGGTATATTTTGCAGTTGGGATTCTCGTGCTAGCTAAATAAAAAGGAAAAAGGTAAATCCGTTATTCTTTTCTGTGCACGTTTGTTTTGTACTGATTTCACATGGTTAAATATGTGAAGCATTAGTCTTTTACAGTTACTGTATTGTGTTTTTCTGCATGCTGTAGGCCTAGATATGTTCAGATCTCCTTTGCTCACATTACAGTCTGAGGAGTTGCAGTGCCCTCCGAGACTCATAGAGGAATGTTTTTGGAAACAGATGAATGAAAAGAGGTAAATTCCATGCTGAAAACTATTTAGCTCCCTTCAGGTGTGGAAGAAGACTCTGCACCTGAAACCTTTTTTCTTTCCACTTTTCAGTGTGGAACTAACCTTTACCTTTCCTCTGCAGCCCACACACTGACGCAGCTCTCCACTTGAGCTTACAAGCACAGCATTTAAGAGCACAAGGCTCAATGTGGTACACATTAACTCTACCGAAACGCTTGCTTTAAAAGAACAAAATCAATATGTCGATGATGACTCATCACTTCCATTATGCACCTTGCATGTACACTCAGTGATTCCACAGCGAACAAAACATTCAGGATTAATTTCCCATGAATTACAGTTTTACAGTGTGTATTTACGATACACAGTAGAAAAGCTAGTCATTGAAAAAACAACACGAAAAAACACAAAGCACAGTTGTCTGCCTTTTTCCAAATAAGACAAGCAAACCCATCCCATGGCATTTACGTTTCCTTCCATTCGGGTCTGCCTGTGCCTCGGTCATGCTCACAGCCAACATAACCCGACGCGAGGAAGAAGAGAGCATTTCGACAGCCGAGCTGCGTCGCCTCTGAACAGCTCTGAGGAGGACATCTGAGGCTGAGTGCCTCCTCTTCTTCCAGAAACTGTTCGCAAACTCTACGGCGAGGGACTTGCGGCTGGGACCCTGCATTTCAGCGCCTTTCCTCCTCCACAGTCTGTATTCAAACTGACACCGAGAGTCAGAATGACTCTCCGCACACAGTGAATCATCTAAGTACAATAGCCCGTTGGTACAAAAGTGTTATGAAGGCCCAATACAATCTATCAGCTCATCACCAGTGCTTGAAACGTTTCCATGACGACCAACAGCTAAGCCACCAGTTAGAGGCAGTTTTGAGTCAAATTCTGCACACTTACACAGCTGGATAAAAAGTCTCTACTAGGTGAATCTGACAGTTTACTTGGATTTTCTGCTATAATGCTCTCTGCTTAGTCTCTTAAAAATCAGCATTTTTTAGGCACGGTTAGAAAATGATTGATCTTCACTCCTGTAACAATAATTGTTAACTTCACCCTTGAATTTTTATCTTCTTTTGCTTTCATTCATGTCTGAACTTATTCAATTTTCCTTGCATTTTTCAAGATAAACTAAGAGTAATAGTTAAACATTGTGTGTAAGAAGCTTGTAATATAACTGAAGCTTATATGATCAGCACACATGAGAGAGACCAAAACAAAGGAGGCTAATTTCTATTTCTAAATGTTCACCTCAGTGCATATTGTTTACTAATTTTTCTAATAACGATTCAATTACAAAAAAAAACAGTGCAGTCTTGCACTCTATGATAATAGCTGGCAAGGAAATAACGGTTGATAGATAAATTAAAATCCAAACGTTTCTGATATGTTTTAGGTTAAGAAGCATTATTTAACCAGCAGAATCAAAAACCCTGCAGAATTAAACATGGTGCAGTTAGGCCAACAATGGGAGTTCTATGCTGGACATGTAATTTGTATGTGACTTTCTTTTTCAGTGTTTTGACCTGTTAGATTCCAGTCCTCTACTACACCTTGTAAGCATTAAGCCCACCTGGTTCCATCTCTTGAAAATGATTTGCGCTTTTAACTTCAGCCATTGCGTTGGGCAGGTCATTCATCAGGGTGACACCTGCAGCCATTGCAGTTCCTGTGAAGGTGAGGAAACATCAGAAGAGTGATGAATGACAAGACAGGTAAAAAGCCATAGCCTTTGTAAATCAATTGTAATCAATGGCAGTCGATCAACATTAAGAAGATTATATGACAGGAAAACGGTGAGCTTCTTCACATAAGCTTAAGACTAGCATTGTATGTTAAAACTTTTACCAATACTGCTGCAATTAGATCACAGTATTCATAATGTACAGTAGTGTGCCTCCTGTAAACAGTACTAGCATTAATCATTTATCAGGTATCCCTATCCCTCTGTGTTAAACAGCATATTAAAACTCTTATTCTTTAAACAACAGTCCTTAACCAACACCTTTGGTTTATACATGTCACGGCAGAACCGGAGGATGGTGCATCTCAATGAACTGTACGGAGACCTGCTTAATAATAACCCCGTGTGTGGCTGTCCTTAATATCGCATTGCTGACGCTTTGAGTGTTAGGAGTACACTGCATTAGGAGCACTGGCAGGATAGAAATGATCAAATACACACACCGTGTACACAGTGTGCACAGATTTTACTTTCCCTTATTATATGCAAGAGCAAAAAATACAAAATATCACCATTGCTGTTCAAACTCAAATACTGTGTGTTCCCCTTGGTCAGGTTTATTTTATTGATCAATTATCTCAGGTATTTTGCAATACCTCATGCTTGAAACAGATATCTGTAAAATCCATTTTAAAATAAAAAACACCTTAGCTATTTTTTAACACATTGAAGTGTTATTTGTAATTTGCAAAGCAGTATATAGTGCCTTCAGACTCCTAACAGGCTATAGGGATATTCAGAGTAATATCTGAGTTCTTGGAAAACAGTTTGATTGTGCTCTTCTTGATAAGATGCTGTTTAGCAGATCGCATTTGAGTTTATACTGTAAGTCCAAAATGTTATGCCTCAAACTCTCATATATATCTCATATTCTTATATGACAATGTTCAGGCAATTTTCCATTGTAAGGTGCAATTAATATAAACTAAAATTATCTACTAGTAACCAAACTCGCAAAACACTACCTAACCAAATTAGATGAGTCTCCACTCCTTGTGCAAAGTTTGTTTCTTATGACATGTTTATATGGTAATTCCATGTGGGATTCAAACTACATACATGTATGTCTGTAGTCGCCTTAAATATGCTAAAAATGATGTTAACGCCTGAGAGATATTTTTGTAATGTCTTGGTAGAAAATTACAGTAGATTGAAATATTGATGATGTCCTGCTGATAGGCTCATTTTCAAAACAATTCTGCTCTGAAAACCTGAGCTTTAAACTAAAGAAATTGCAGGAAAAAGCCAAATTTGAGAATTATCTTTGTTGCCCATCTCTGCATATTTAAGGGATCAGCTCATTCATAAAGCTGTAGAACTTCCAAACACTATCGGTGTGACATTAGGGTGCATATGTTCAGCAATAATGAACATTTGCATTATTTGTATTTGTATTACATAAAAACACATTCAGTAAGGACATCAGAAGTGTATTCATTATTAATTAAAGTTCAGTACTGAAACAGGTTTTTAAGGAAAATCTCCAGTGTGGCAGACCAGTCATTAGCGGGCTATGAGAAACAATATGGGTCAAACAGAATTCAAAGTAGGTCGAAGATTTAGTAAATACCAGTGTGTGTGTGGAAGGATTAAATCAAGCATGTGTTATGCTGGCTGCCCACAACAGTTAACATTTCCAAACGGTATATATTTTTTGAACTAAAAGCTAGCTATTGCATCTGCTAATTCAGATTCTTCAGGCATCATGTGAAATTTTTTGCAAACAAAAAATAAAACTGCATCCACAAAAAAACAGCTTCTAGTTTTGTTCTTGAAATTTGAATGTTTAGATTAAGTGAATCAGATGAAGCCATCTGAAGCCCATCGGTGACACAAAATAAACTTTATAAATAATAGGGAGCATACTTCCAATGGCTTTTTATTTTTTCTCATAAAATTTGAAATTTACAGTTGATTTAAAGGTAAAATGTTGATCCTCAGTATATTATTATAGGATTAGTACAATCTGCAAGTAGATTGTTGGTTCATATGCTGAAAATGAATGTAACGTTTCTAGTAAGTAAACAGCCTAGTACTGTACATCAAGGACCACCACAAAGAATCATTATGTGATTGCGATATTACTTTATATACTCATAAAATATTATAATAAAACTTAAATCTGGTCATTATTAAGCATCATACTTAATACAATTTAAAATCTTGATCTGTCAGAGAATTGCAACCACCACGCAGAAGATACTTGTCCAGCACCCAACTACCAGAGTAAACATTTTGTTTTTAAATTGTCTTTGAAGTCTTAAAATCACAAAATGTTCTTTACCTGTGACCCAAACAAAGGAGTGACTTATAGTCATTGGCATCATCAGTGAGTACAATGTTAACCGCAGAAGACAATCCAAGCACAGAGAGGAAAATGTTCTTCAGAAGCCTGTTTTTTTCCCCCACAGCCTATATTCCCAGTCCACAGTCCAACCACTAGTTTTCCTGCTAGTCCACTTTTATTCCAAATTATCCCCGAAGAAGTCTTGTAAAAATGCATTGGAGATTCTAACAAACATCATCAATGGGTTTTATTACTTCTTTAAGCAACTCACATCTAATTTAGCTGATCATCTTCTGGTCACTGTGAGACATGAGAATTCTTACTTGCACATTAAAACAAAATACAAAAGGTTATCCTGTCTAAGAAACTAGGAAGTGGTCTGGATACGTGACTGTACTGCTTAGCAAGTATACCACTTAAAGCATTACACGTGTGGCCTGGGAAAAAAGTAGATTACTATTTCTGACTCCTCCTAGATTAGTGACTAATCCAATTAGTACCCAAATAACTACAAAATCTAATTGGTTCAATAAGAAGTTAGCAAAAAGCATTTTTAAAATCAAGCTTATTTAAAAATCTTAACTTCTATAAATCCTGTGAAAGCAGTGAATAGGTAAATATTAAATCTACACTATCATACTGATATTAAGGGAAAATATACTTACCTCCATTTATTATTTTATTCCAAGCAAAATCAAAATTTAAATTTAAATTTTAAAAGGCTCAATTATGTGTTGTAAAATCTATATGGCAGTGCATAAGACCACACCATTAGACTAATATGAGCTGAAATAGTCCCTGTAATTTTTAAGAGGTAACATCTGCAGCCTACCTCTATTGTAACTATACTAGTTAAATGGAATTACATCTATACAATCATTTTAAAAGGGCGTGAATGTTAAAAACTATGAGTCTTAAATAAATGTTATGTTTCCATATTATCAGTAATGCCATGGAAACAGCAATCACTCTAAAAAAAAGAAAATGTTTAACTTCCCATTGTAATACAAAACCAAATATGGGTCTTAGGCTGCTACTGAGGAACAAATGATAGTGTAATCTTTACATAAAGCCAGCTGCTTATAAAGCGGTATTGATCTATTACTTCATGAAAGATTATTGGAAATGGGTGTTTGGGCTTGACTTTCATCTGTACAGAATGTTCTTTATTACTGACTCACATGTGATCAATAAAAGTTGAAAAATATTAGCAGCTATTTCATCAGTAATTTAACGTGCAATGAAAAGTATAAAAAGTTGGGTTTTGAGTACTACTGTATATCAAAGTACAGACAAGCAAACTGAATACCAATGGCTTTAATCTTGACAGTTTAAAAAAAAACTGCATTTCTTTTTTTTTTCGTGCTTCAAATCAAACATCCAGCAGGAAGGCAGGGTAAATGTGAATAGACTGTATACTGTACACAAGACAGACACAGAATTACATCAGGGCATTTACCCAGAATAATGTGTTTTCACTGCTCAAGACGTGGGGCTGGATGCAGAGTTAGTGAGGCAGGACTGAGCTTGAGGAATACAGCTGCTTAACTTGGTGTTAATTTTTCTTTCTCCTTATAATAGCTCAAGTTAGCTTAAAGCCCACAGCAGATCTCCTTCAAGAAGGAAATAAGGTTGAATGCACATGACGCACTGCTCTACTCGGGGAAAGGCTGTGCAGTTTTTGGAAGCTGACACAGTAAGACGTCACTCCTCCAGCCTTAGCTGTTTTGAATAGGTGTCAAAGTGCAGCCTACAACTTAAAAATGACCTTTTTTACAAAAATTGTTTTGGAATTACGAGTTTCAATCAAATTAAGTTTGAAACACAAAATAGTCCTTTCAGAACTGTTTTCTAAGCAGTGTCTGATATCCTTGGAAATTTGAATCCCTCTTTGATTTTGGACCATAATATCTGATATTACATTGAACGTTTCTGCAATGTTATATTTGGTAGATTACAGAACTATAAATAATGGTAAAATAAGTTACTGTACTGTATTTCGGTTTTGTGAAGAATATATGCGGGCACCTGGAAGAGCAGGTCATCTCTGTTTATTATAAATCTGTTCGGATTTTAAAAATACTGGACACAGTTTGGACCTTTTTAATAGTTTCCTGCTCCTAAAATGCTGAACCTTTCATGATACATACAGTATACTGTAAATACCTAAGAGATACATTTAAAAATGCCTATGGGTGAAAGCCCAAATATCTAATGACATTATTACTTAAATTTGGAATCTTGTGAAGTAATCAAGAGCTGGAATAAACCCAGCAGACACTGGGGTCAGGAGGACTTGGAATGGGAAGTCCTGATTTAGACACTTAAATCCCTATGGCTTCCTGAGGGGACTTAAGTATCTTAGAGTTTTGAACACGGGACCCTTGTGTAAAACCTTAATTGAGACTCAAAGAATGTGTCAAGTATCAAGAATAATATAACTGGTGTGTACAGTACTGAAGGTGTACACTGCTAATGACATCATAGCTGATTCTCTCTCCT